TGACGGCTTCCATTCCACTTCTACGGTGTCCAACGTGATATTTCGAATGTAGAACACAGGCGGGTCGGGATCTAAAAAAATGAAACTCGACTGGCATTTACTACATTATTATCTGGAAAAATCGTCCCGCCGCTTTTTCTCGGCAGAGCATTCATTCCACATATTGGTCAGTTTGTTCATCACAGAAGGACAGGAGAAGACAGGGTGTGTGACTTTACTATCTCTTTTGAGCGAGCAGGTTACCCTGTGAGATCTGCTAAGAGCATTTTATAGCACCGGTTGTTTTCCTATTAGTAGCCGCCTCTATATGTAGAAAACGTGAAAACTCCTCTCACGCCTTTTGACACTCCCCGCCCCCTCCCCCCTCCGGATTGCGACAGTTTCACTACAGAGTTGCCATCGCTTTCCAGCCGGGTAGGTAATGTTTACAAGAGAAGAAGGGCTGGTATGTATCTTTGCCAGAGCCCATATCTGGAGGAATATGGGGGCGTGTCTGAGAATAATGTGATCACTGTCCTACTCCTTGATGGACAAAGAGAGCCAGAGACAGTAGAACTGAATTAACTTTACGGCGTCAGGAAGAGGTGCAATTCTATGATTTGTTCATCAACTTCTTCACAAGAGGACCTCCCGTGAGCAATACTGGGAAGCGGTTTATACCAATCTTTTTCGCCATTTGTCATTCACTACCCGCAAACATCTGATGGAGAACGCGCTGGCGGCGAAACAAACCCGCCGTCACTGTACCCCACTTCATCCGCAGCGAAAAAACAGAACTGTAGCAACCTTTCAACCAACGATTTTTTTGAGAGCAGTATTTTAGCGACCAAACTTAACGACTTACTCCTAGAGTTCCACGTTCGCACTGGTCGAGTCGATCTCTCTCCTTCACCAGCACTTGTTTCTCCCCAAACGGAAACCGTATAAGAAGTGTCAGGATCACATTTCTCGTGCAAATATGCGCGTTGTCTGTGGAGGACGTACGTCTCTTCAGTCTCATCTGAAATTTATTCTTGTCACTCTGCTCTGCTTCATCCATTCATTCTGAGCCACCCTGATGGGCCCACACACAAGCGTAAAATCGATACTCTTTTAGGCGATGAACTGAGCGCAGTGCCAGTTCTAAGGTCAACAACAAGTGTAGTACATACTTTTCTCGTTCTCGAACGATAAGAAGTAGCCCCTTATCAGACCATTCGGATGTCTGGGAGGTTCCCACGTCGCAAGAATACTGGGCCTCAACGGCGCATTACCGTCAATTGTGCACTTCTTGACGGTACTGAAAAGCATACATTAAGTATCTTAGAGGGGCAAAAATAACCATGAGCAACTCACGTCCTTCAGGGGTTGTAACATGAACGGCTGGACTTGGTTCACTACCGTAGCGACGATTCTTGGTCCGGATCACTGCTGTATAGTTGGAATTTGGCGCAAGAGTGGTAATCGTCTGAAGTGGAACCCGTTGTGAAAACGATAACAAAAATGACGGAACTCAGCAAAATTACCTTCTCGGTTTCATTCGGCTGCAGCATAACACGGTATTTTCGCGCTGGGAGAAGATCACGCCAGAATTCTATCTGGAAATCTCTTTGTTAAAAGCAATTCACCAATGTTGAGTCTCTACGCGATTTGTTCGGCAGTTTATCAGTTTTTTTAAAAAAATTTTCAGAAGATTTCTTAGGAAAAACTGATATTCGGTGCAGCTGGAGACGGGGCGGGGTATGTCTTGCTCCTCTCTCTCTCTTCTCGTCCTCTCTCTCTTCTCTTGTCATCTGTCTGTCTACTTCCCATCGACCATGTCGACCTATCGACCAAAAAAAAAAAAAAAAAAAAAAAATTAGTCAGGCCTCCTCTCCAGATGTGCAGCGTTTGCGATAATGCGTTGGTGGGCTTTCGTTCAGGCTCACAGGGTTCACGGAATCTCGCCAGAGTGAGGACTATAAACCAGAAGTATAGGAAAAGCAACGGTAGTACAGAAATTCAGCCCCCCCGTGGTCAAGCTGCGCCTTTGAATTCAAGAATGAAAAGGAAAAGATTAACTATGAAAACGATTAACTTTGATGGGTATCAACTGGAAATTTTCTGACGCAAGTAAATGACTGGTTGTAGGAGGATGCGTTCTGAAAAGTAGGCAGCCAGGATTCAGTCGGCCGGCGCGACTCCAACCCTACACTGTAATGAGGGTCCACACGTTGGCAGGAATTTCTTCTAGATACGACCTCACTTCCCAAATTCTCTCTTCCAGTACGACCCTACCTCATTCTCCTCAAAGCTCTATCAAACCTCTCAAAACTCGCTTCGACAGGGGACGTGGTGGAAGGGCTACACACCTGGCATCAGCATATCAGGATACTAGGTGTGTGTACATACTAACGCGCATGAGGGAGAAATCAACGATCAGCGAGGTTATCACAGGGGAAAAACACAGGAATTCATCTGCTGCATCTTTCCTACTTCTCCACCTCGTCCTCTTTTACACTCAATCTAATTGCCTACAAAATCACAGCTGAGCTCGGTGGGGCAGTCTGCTTTTCGCTAGTTTATTGGTTTGTTCAGGCGCAGTGGCGGCGTGGGGGGGGGCATTTTGTACTATCATGTGTTTCCTTAATCCGTTAATGTCACACTCAAAGGGAACCTGTGAACTCTTGGGAAGCTGGAAAAAGGTTGTCAAGCATCATGTTGAAGCATGTCAACTCGAGAAGAGGCTGTCTAGATAGGTCCGCACGTCGATGAGAAGTAGCAAAAGTGCAAAATGCCCCCCTCGTCTAACTGCGCCGTTACTTCATCTTAACTAATAGGTTCCAACCAGTGAGACCCTGCGAAAGCCCCTATGAAGTCGGAGAGGTGGCGAGAGAGCCACTCCGGTCACAGGATGTTACAATTCTTCACAATTGGTTGTAGAACCGTGAGTAAGTACTACTCGGTGCCCCCTCTACATAGAACAGCGCTACACAGTCGTACCTCATAACCACGGAAGAATCCATTCACGGACGGCTCCTCCACCGGTTCCCATTTGAAGCTGACTGTCGAGAAATTCATGATTTTAGCGACTCGAAAATTGTTTGGTGGCGTTGATGGCACTGAAAAACCGATTAACATCAGATATGGCACTTGGAACATAACATTCCTCTTCATACGATATGATTGGTGTATCATTAATTACCTGTAATTTTTTGCATGTGAAATCAATAAACAAAGTAAACAATCGCATTTGTGATGGCGAAATCTGCTGTAGATGCTGCCTCTAAACAGGCACACCATGAGAGAGACGTCAAGATCGATACTCTCACTCAAAAGGGCATTTCTGTGATAGTCTGGGTAGTGAGTGATGGGGGAGGGGGGTGGAGTGGGGGAGATCTCAACGTACTGGTACCAATTCACTGAGCACGTTTTAGGAGGGGCTAGAACGACGGCAGAGTTAGGCATTATTAGCTGTAAGACTACGCCACGTTTCACTTTTGTTGGGCAGGTTTTTGAAGGCAGCAGAAAGAGCTAAAGAAACAAAATGGTGTGTAGGCTGGGCGAGGGGGGTCAAATAGAGATTTGGCCCAAGAAACTCTGTGTGCTAATATTCGAATGCAAGTCCAAATAAAAATAAGTAAGTCCAAAAAAAACAACAAATAATAACAAAGTCCCCTTTGAAAAAGACAGCGAAAGGCTAGTGTGACAGGACGATAAATTACCAGGCAGTGTGCAGTGGTCGTTACTTGCCTTCTTTAGCGGGTCTTCTGTTACCAGGCTGGGGTGAAGAGAGGTCGGGGCGGGGCCAACGCAGGTATGTGGGCCAACGATGAGGACGACGCACGGTTCGCGCTACTTAATGGGGGCAGCGAAGATACTGCAACGACCAGGCTTTTCGCAAGCGGAGGAAAAAGGACCTCTAAAGCCCCAGAAGTCCTTTTAGATTGGTGCGAGAATGTGTGTACCCGGACATATAAATTTAGCGCCTGACACTACGATGGAATCTGTACTAAAGAAGATTCACTAACCATCCTCGCCAGAGAATCCTTTCACGATATCTGGTTCGAGAATACTGGGTCCAATTGCGTTGACCGCTCGTACTTGAACTTGGAATGGACGGAACGTTGGCTGTTCGCGGATAATTGTATGGTTCTGAAACGAAGTTCTTCATGTGCATGCATAGTAATCGAGAGGTCCCCTTGAGACAATCCAATTTTGACGCTTCTGCTTGAAAGGGGCAGAAATACAGATTTGTTTGCTGCGGATGATGATGCATTTTGCACCTCCGCTACTTTCTTTTTTCAGGTTATCTTACTGAGCAAAGTTGGTTCGGTGGCACTTGAGCACCTGGTGAAATATTGCAGTAACAATTTTATGTCGGCAAAAATTCATGAGATATTCGTAAGTTACGTCGAACACCCTTGTTATGACTCAACCCAACAAACTACGCCCCAAATTTTATTAAATTCATTGTTCACGCCGATCGCAGCCATCGTCACGCCACACTCTCTCCGAATCGAGGCATTTTCGCCGAAACCTACATACCAATGGCTTACAAACTCATGGCGTTCGGCATAAAAGACTTGCCTTCAGAGGAACCTGACCAGGAACTCATTAAAGAGCAGCCAACAGTAGTGTTTGCTGCGGATGATGGAGTACGTCAGAAAGCTGGGTTTGGCGAGCTGCCAGCACCGCACGCCACCGCGTTGTGATCATTTCTTGAACTTGAAGAATACCACCCCCCCCCGACCTATTCCTACCTCAATAAACCCTTCCCGTTACCGTGTAACCATAATACTTTCGCTAAGGTCCCCCAACTTCCTACCACTTTTTTCAATTTTTTCCCGAAAAATTTCTGGTTTTTCCCCAAAAAAATTTTGCTGTTGAGCGGGGAGGGAAGGTCATCAGGAGTTAAATATTATCTACAACTACCGGGAATAGTAGTTGTAAAGATCTTTGGCAGTCCTTCTCCCAACAGCGACCAAATACGCCCGCCCCCTCCTCCCTCGCAGTCATACGCACCCCGTTTTGATCATCACAACGATCGCGTGCCCTGGATGGCAGCCCTTTCACCACCAGTCGTTGAGGCATGTAAGCGACATACTCCGTAGAAAATGACTGACACGAACGGGTATGAATTGGTCATATCGCTAGGCAAAAAAAGAAAAAGGAACGGGCTGGCGCTGCGCCAAACCCAGCTCCCTCTTCAGACGCCCGCATTCAACAGCAGCGAACGAGACTGTATTTTTTTCTCCCGAAAATATTCACGAGAAGTGGATCTCAATCACGAATTCCGTGCCAGGCCGTGTGGCGGTTCATGCCAGTTTGTAGCCTGGCAGACAGTACGTAACGGTCGGGAATTATTTACAATAGTAAAAATGCATGAGATTCGTTTACCGCGAAACGGCACTGATTCCATTAATCTTGTAGAACTGTTACCTTAAGGTACTGTAAGTGAGGAGCATTCCAGTAATACTTCTCCATAGGTTTCCAGTAGACCACCAAATTGTCAGGTTCTGTTCCTTCAGCACGTACACCTTTCGGATTCGAGTATGGAAACGAGGGCCGTGTTTGGCAGGAGACCGTCTGCATCTTGTCTGACAGCGGGAGGATTTCTACCGCGAGGTTACTGAACTGAAACTTCTATAGTGCTGAGTAAAGGTGGTGGGCGCAGTCTGGCGGGGGGGGGGAAAGTGATTTTCGGGCACTTGTGCTGGGTCTTCCCATCAACGCCTCGACCTATCTACAGCATCTTGTGGAGTTGATAGGTGTCTAACATGATTGGCTTATGACTGCTTCCGCTTCAGCAAATGAGGTTCAACGAGGTTCGCCAGAGCGAACGAGAACTTAAGCGCATATGAATTCATCAAAAGTGCCGCCCCCCGCCAAACCGGGCCAAATGGTGTTTAAACCGCAGGAACCGTTGTCGACTTCGCCATACTGTGCACTTTAGATTGCGATATGGGACACCTACGGCTCTGGGATGCCGGGGCAACGTACTCAAAAAAAGTCCAGTATTGACAAACCTTCGTCATCCAGCGCGATATTCCTGTCTGACCGACCATGTGAATTCTCAGCGATTACTCGGAATGTGTAATTCACCTGAATGGCCCATCAAAATGTTTGACTTACTTCAGTCTCCGAAAGGCCACCCCTAGTCAACTCACCCACGGCGTCAAAGTGACGATGAGCTTCAAATTTTTCATATTCACGTTGGTCTCTATCCAACGACAACGTTTTCGCCAGTGAACCCTGAACAAAGCTAGTAACTGTGGTCTATATGCAACAGCATAGAATAGTATTTCACGCTGTTTCGATATGCTTTCAAAATCAAGCCTAGTAAGCATCCGGAGCAAACATCTACCACTGTACAAACTTTCGGATAAATTGCTAATCTTATTGAACTGGAGCCAGGCTTACCTTGCGAAATCGCGTTTCCAATTTCGACAAGTATATTGTCTTGATTTATCTCCCATAATCTTGCCGATTGTCATTTGGATTACGCATTTTCTCTTCAGTACAACTGGAGGTTCCACAAATGGATGAGCAGGAACGTCTGAATAAAAATGACTATGAAAGGGGCTTCCAAGAAATTATTGCTGCTTTGTCTCCCTGCATTAAATAGGTGGACCGTAGTCATTTTGTAACTGGTTGACTTGTCTTACAGTATCGTTTTCATGACAGATCCACAACTTTATTTTCAGGAATGCAGGGCGCACCGTCACGTGAGATCTTGCACTTTTGTGCATGGTCTCTTACGCACCCCTGAGCGTACTCGGACACTTGTCCCTCGCGGCGGCCTCCCTTCTCTTTCATTTTTCTTTCTTCTTCCTTATTTTTCTTCCTTTCTTCTTTTTATTTCCTCCTCCATTCCCCTTCTCCCTTCAACTGCTGGGCTAGTAGAAGCCATGAGAAAATACCTCTAGGCACTCGCAGCGAGAGCATGTCCGGTTGACCTTGTCGTCTGCGTCTCTGCGTCTTTATGTTTCTTTCCCAAAAATAAGGTAGAACGAGGTCCATGCAGGTGATGCCATCCACAGGTCCGCTAAGGCAGCACCGCAGCACCCTAAACTTCCTTACCAACGCCCTCCATTTCCTCCGTGGAGGGGCACCGTTTTCAGATAGGAGGACACTTCATTTTTTAATTCTGATGATGAGATTCAGATATGATCGAAATTGCCCAGAAAAATCGTCGAAGACGTAGATAGTAGTTTGAAAAAACGCTTAGTTACGAGACGGATCCTTCCCATGTGCGGTGGGACGTGCCTGCAGCTGTAGGAGTGAACCGTTTTCACCATTTGGGAGTGCCTGAGAGATATGGAGGGCTGTTTCGACTCCATCCTCTGTCCACAATGTGCGAAATATGCGCCGAATGCGAGGTCTTCCGGCAAGCAGCATGAATTTCAAGTTGCCTATTTTCCAGGTGAAGAGAGCAACCAAACAGGAGAGGTCACAGACAAGCAGGGCGTCTGACTATAGTTACACGTATACATGGTGCACGTTGCGTCTGCTGCTTTGCCTATGGGTGGGAAAAGACGAAAGTGACTCATCAAAAGCATCATCAGATACCACACTATCTTATGTTATTGGAAGGTTCTGGGTTACTGCATACTTGTAAGATCCTCACCTTTGACAGTCAGCCGGATCGAAGCCAATTTGACATCGACTTCGGTGATGGCAGCACAGTCAATCGTTCCAGTATGGCGACCTCGAACCGAGTTGATACGAAGGAGATCAGGAAGGATCCTGTAAATCTTGCTCTTGTAAACTTTCAGTATTACTGTACCACTGCGATCAAAACCATCTGAGACTATTTCGTCTGCTCAATAACTTAGATCAATTCATTTATGGAAGTTCATTTATTAACTTCGCTGTAGCCCTGATGCTTGGTAGTTTATTTGGGTTTAATCTAGAGACAAATCGGGGCCCTCACAATGTCCACTTATGGGAGGGCCGTAGCGAAGGAATGCGTTATTGTGGGTCTGACTCCGCCCATAGAGTTCCCGAAGATTGGGAGATTTAAGCTTGGAGGTCGAAGCCGGAACCGGTGAGAAATCAGATCGTAGATAGATTGGAGCCGGAAATGCGAGGGGAAGGTAGAATAAGAAATAATACAACTCTGAAATAACGCGAAAATGCTCAGTCTGGTGATGAGCAAGCCCCGCC